TACCTGCAGGGACAGAGCGGCGGCAGTGAGAAATCGGAGGGGGAAAGCCGAAGCGCCGAGGTCGGGGACTCGCTCACATGTGCAGGGATTGCAGCAACCATTCTTCTTCTTCTTCGTCTTCCTCCTCCTCCTCCTCCTCTCCACGTTTCATCGCCGCCTCCATGGCAACCGCTGCCGGGCGCGCAGCAGTGACGTCACGTTGGCGGCGCACCTCAGTGACGTCACGTGGGCGGCGCACGGTAGTGACGTCGCAGCGGGGCGGCGCGCGCGCAGCTGGGCCTTTTTGGCGCCAGGTTTTTACTGAGGGAAGATTCGCGCGGCGGCTGTTTGTGAAGCGGGCCCGAATTCCCGCGTTTTTCAACCCTGTCATAAAACAGAGCCGCTGCTCCCACATCTGCGCCTCCTCTCCTCACGACAAGGCCCAAATTCCCACAACTGCGGATCATCGCTGTTGTAAACAAGGCCCGAATTCCCGCATTCTGGCGTTGCCTCCTCATAAACACACCGCGGTCCCTGCGCCTCTGTGTCTTCTGCTCGTAAACATCACCCGAATTGCCACATCAACATCCACGGTTCTGTATCTCCTCATCATGGGACCCCAATTCCCCATTTGTGTGACCTCTCTTCACAAATAAGACCCCAATTCCCCATTTGTGTGTCTTCTTCACAAATAAGACCCAAATACCCACATTTTCACACCCTCTCCTCACAAAAAGACCCCAATTCCCCATTTATGTGTCCTCATAAATAAGACCCCAATTTCCCATCTGTGTGTCTTCTTCCTATATAAGACCCAAATTGCCACCTAAACACCCACATCTGTGTGTCCTCTCTTCCTAAATAAGACCCAAATATCCACATTTTCATACCATCTCCTCACAAAAAGACCCAAATTTCCCCCATTTGTGTGTCCTCTCTTCATAAATAAGACCCCAATCCCCCATTTGTGTGTCCTCTCTTCATAAATAAGACCCCAATCCCCATTTGTGTGTCCTCTCTTCATAAATAAGACCCCAATTCCCAATTTTTGTATCCTTACCTCATAAAGAGGCCCAAATTCCCACATCTCTGTACTCCCTTCACAAAAAAACCCACCAAATTCCCCCATTTGTGGATCATCTCGTTGCCTATAAGACCCAGATTCCATTTGTGTTCCCTGCCTTCGTAAATAAGACCAAATTCCCACCTAAATCCCTACGTTTGTATACAATCTCTTCATGAATGAGACTCTCATACCCACATTTTTCTTCCCTCTTCTCATAAAAAGACCCAAATTCCCACGTTTTTGTGTCTTCTCTTCATATCTAAGACCCCAATTCCCCATTTCTGTGTCTTCTTCACAAATAAGACCCAAATACCCACATTTTCACACCCTCTCCTCACAAAAAGACCCAAATTCCCCATTTGTGTGTCCTCTCTTCATAAATAAGACCCCAATTCCCCATCTGTGTGTCTTCTTCCTATATAAGACCCAAATTGCCACCTAAACACCCACATCTGTGTGTCCTCTCTTCGTAAACAAGACCCAGATTCCCCCATTTGTGTCTTCTTCCTAAATAAGACCCAAATACCCACATTTTCATACCCTCTCCTCACGAGAGAGACCCAAATTTCCACATTTGTGTGTCCTCTCTTCCTAAACAAGACTAAATTCCCACCTAAATATCCACATCTGTGTGACCTCTCTTCCTAAATAAGACCCCAATTCCCCATTTGTGTGTCATAAATAAGACCCCAATCCCCATATTCGTGTGTCCTCTCTTCGCAAATAAGACCCAATTTCCCCCATTTGTGTGTCCTCTCTTCATAAACAAGACCCAGATTCCCACATTTCTGTCTTCTTCCTAAATAAGACCCAAATACCCTCATTTTCATACCCTCATTTTCATACCCTCTCTTCATAAATAAGACCCCAATTCCCCATCTGTGTGTCTTCTTCCTAAATAAGACCCAAATTGCCACCTAAACACCCACATCTGTGTGTCCTCTTTTCCTAAACAAGGCCAAATTCCCACCTAAATATCCCCATTTGTGTGTCCTCTCTTCATGTATAAGACCCCAATCCCCATTTGTGTGTCCTCTCTTCATGAATAAGACCAAATTCCCACCTAAATATCCCCATTTGTGTGTCCTCTCTTCATGTATAAGACCCCAATCCCCCATTTGTGTGTCCTCTCTTCATAAATAAGACCAAATTCCCACCTAAATATCCACACTTCTGTGTTCTCACTTCATGAATAAGACCCAGATTCCCACATTTTTGTGTCTTCTTCCTAAGTAAGACCCAAATACCCACATTTTCATACCATCTCCTCCCAAAAAAAACCAAATTCCCCATTTGTGTGTCCTCTCTTCATGAATAAGACCCCAATTCCCCATTTGTGTGTCCTCTCTTCATGAATAAGACCCCAATTCCCCATTTGTGTGTCATAAATAAGACCCCAATCCCCATTTGTGTGTCCTCTCTTCATAAATAAGACCCCAATCCCCATTTGTGTGTCATAAATAAGACCCCAATCCCCATTTGTGTGTCCTCTCTTCATGAATAAGACCCCAATCCCCATTTGTGTGTCCTCTCTTCATAAATAAGACCCCAATCCCCATTTGTGTGTCATAAATAAGACCCCAATCCCCATTTGTGTGTCCTCTCTTCATAAATAAGACCCCAATCCCCATTTGTGTGTCATAAATAAGACCCCAATCCCCATTTGTGTGTCCTCTCTTCATGAATAAGACCCCAATCCCCCATTTGTGTGTCCTCTCTTCATAAATAAGACCCCAATCCCCATTTGTGTGTCATAAATAAGACCCCAATCCCCCATTTGTGTGTCCTCTCTTCATGAATAAGACCCCAATCCCCCATTTGTGTGTCCTCTCTTCATGTATAAGACCCCAATTCCCCATTTGTGTGTCCTCTCTTCATGAATAAGACCCAGATTCCCAATTTTTGTATCCTTACCTCATAAAGAGGCCCAAATTCCCACATCTCTGTACTCCTTTCACAAAAAAACCCACCAAATTCCCCCATTTGTGGATCATCTCGTTGCCTATAAGACCCAGATTCCATTTGTGTTCCTTGCCTTCGTAAATAAGACCAAATTCCCACCTAAATTCCTACGTTTGTATACAATCTCTTCATGAATGAGACTCTCATACCCACATTTTTCTTCCCTCTTCTCATAAAAAGACCCAAATTCCCACGTTTTTGTGTCTTCTCTTCATATCTAAGACCCCAATTCCCCATTTGTGTGTCTTCTTCCTATATAAGACCCAAATACCCACATTTTCATACCCTCTCCTCACAAAAAGACCCCAATTCCCCATTTATGTGTCCTCTCTTCATAAATAAGACCCCAATTTTCCATCTGTGTGTCTTCTTCCTATATAAGACCCAAATTGCCACCTAAACACCCACATCTGTGTGTCTTCTTCCTAAATAAGACCCAAATACCCACATTTTCATGCCTTCTCCTCACAAAAAGACCCAAATTTCCCCCATTTGTGTGTCCTCTCTTCATAAATAAGACCCAGATTCCCACATTTCTGTCTTCTTCCTAAATAAGACCCAAATACCCTCATTTTCATACCCTCATTTTCATACCCTCTCTTCATAAATAAGACCCCAATTCCCCATCTGTGTGTCTTCTTCCTAAATAAGACCCAAATTGCCACCTAAACACCCACATTTGTGTGTCCTCTTTTCCTAAACAAGACCAAATTCCCACCTAAATATCCCCATCTGTGTGTCCTCTCTTCCTAAATAAGACCCAAATACCCACATTTTCATGCCTTCTCCTCACAAAAAGACCCAAATTTCCCCCATTCCTGTGTCCTCTCTTCTTAAATAAGACCAAATTCCCACCTAAATATCCACATTTCTGTGCTCTCACTTCATGAATAAGACCCAGATTCCCACATTTCTGTGTCTTCTTCCTAAGTAAGACCCAAATACCCACATTTTCATACCATCTCCTCCCAAAAAAACCCAAATTCCCCATTTGTGTGTCCTCTCTTCATAAATAAGACCCCAATCCCCCATTTGTGTGTCATAAATAAGACCCCAATCCCCCATTTGTGTGTCCTCTCTTCATAAATAAGACCCAAATTCTCCCCTATTTCCACGCCAGCCCGACCTCCATCCGTTACCCCATTTCAGGGCTCTGAGCGATGGCGGGCCGTGTGTTGGGACCGTGCTGCAGGTCATTGTGAGCAGACCCACAAGAGCCCACAAGAGGATATTTACCACCGTCAGGAACAGGAGGTAAAACTGTTTATTGCAGTCAATCTAACGCTGTTATTTAAAACAGAACGAAAGCGAAATGGACGGACAGGCCTGGGAAGCAGGGCTCCTGCAGAGACAACCCTTGGGTTCCTGCATCCTGCACAGCTCAGGAGGACTTCTAGACATCTTCTGGGCTCTCCTGCAATACAAAATGTGGTATCACTGCTGTTTAGGGCACCCTGTGTGACATGGCATTGCTGGGGATGCTCGGTCTCCAAGGATGAGCTGCACCAGAGCCCCTCCTGTCTTTGCTTCTGCTCGCTGAGCTGGGGTTTCCCTCCAACCCTGCTGTCTCAAGGCTTCCCTGCCGCTCTCCTGTCTTTGATGGCTTTTTGCATTCATCATCAAGGGGCCCAACGTGTCTCTATGGGTCCCAACGTGTCTCTATGGGACTCCATGTGTCCCTATGGGTCCCAATGTGTCTCTATGTGTCCCAGTGTGTCTCTATGGGACTCCATGTGTCTCTATGGGTCCCAACGTGTCCCTATGGGTCCCAACGTGTCCCTATGGGTCTCAATGTGTCTCTATGGGTCCCAACGTGTCCCTATGGGTCCCAACGTGTCTCTATGTGTCTCAATGTGTCTCTATGGGTCTCAACGTGTCTCTATGGGTCTCAACGTGTCTCTATGGGTCCCAACATGTCCCTATGGTCCCAATGTGTCTCTATGGGTCTCAATGTGTCCCTATGGGTCCCAATGTGTCTCTATGGGTCCCAAAGGGTCCCAATGTGTCTCTATGGGTCTCAATGTGTCTCTATGGGTCTCAATGTGTCCCTATGGGTCCCAATGTGTCTCTATGGGTCCCAAAGGGTCCCAATGTGTCTCTATGGGTCCCAATGTGTCTCTATGGGTCTCAATGTGTCTCTATGGGTCCCAACATGTCTCTATGGGTCCCAATGGGTCCCAACGTGTCTCTATGGGTCCCAACGTGTCTCTATGGGTCCCAACGTGTCCCTATGGTCCCACTGCTCACTGCAGCAGGCTGCCCATGGAGGTGCTGGAGTCTCCTGCTCTGCAGATGTTCCAGGCCTGCCTGGATGCCGAGCTGTGCGACTGCTGTAGGAACGGCTGGGCAGGGGGTTGGAGTGCATGAGCTCTGCAGCTCCCTGCAACCCCTGCAGTTCTGGGATGCTGTGATTCTGTGATGTGGCTCTGGGCAGCCTGGGCTGCTGGTTGGCGACCTGCACACAGCAGGGCTTGGAGCTGGATGAGCATTGAGCTCCTGTGCAACCCAGGCCGTTCTGTCATTCTATGTTATGATACGATTCTCTGTCTGCGCCTCTAAGTTCACTTCTCTGTGAGCCGCAGAGGATTCTTCAGAAGTTACGTGTCGAGCTGACACCGTCACTGCTCTTCTTTTTGTTCTGTTTTCCAGCTCCATGCCTGTTTTCTTTTGTAACCAGAAGAGAGAGGATATCTTTCTTTATATCTTTCTTCCGGCCAGCTTATCCATGGGAAAGCTGATCTGTTGCAACTGCAGCAGCTCTGGTGGAGTTGGGTGAGCTGCATTCCTGCAGCACGGCACGGGCGCTGCAGGAAAACCCCATGGCCTGAGATGGGAGCCGACCGCAATGCCTGGCAGCCCCTGCTGGCCTCTGCCGTGTCTGACTTTGATCGTTGTTGGTTTTTTTTTTTGGGGGGGGGGGGGGAGAAATCTTGTCTTTCTTCAAACATAGGCAGCATTCTCATTTCTGACAAGAAGAAATGCTTTGTTTGGGCTTTGTGCAGCTGCGCTCTCACGCTAACGTCGGCTCTGGGCGCAGTCAGCCCGAATGCACTTCTATTTATAGGAACCTGGTATTTTTACGTTAAACTCTTTTTTGGCACGAACCAGAACAGTTCTCTGCAGGGATACTGACAACTATTTGTATCCTTTGGGTGCGTCCTCACCTCTCAGCTCGCACTGGCAGAACCGGAGGAGCAAGAATGGCTGGGAAAGAACATAGCTGGGAGGAAAGCAGCCAGGAGCTGCTGTTTTCCCAACCCCCCCTCTTCGAGAGCGTTAGTTTTAATGGAGGTGGGAGCAGTGCTTACCCGTTCTGGAGGAGGAGGAGTGGGGTTGTTCCTTCTGTCCCGTCTTTGATGTCGCCACCTATGAAATAAAGTGCCCAGTGACCATTGCGGAGGGGTTTTGTGCAGGGTGAGGTGCTGCTGTTTGGGGACGAAAGCAAAGCAGTGAGAGGAGAAGGGAGCGCTTGTCTTCCGCCCGCTGTGCAGAAATCTTTCTTTTCTCAACTCTTTTCTTCGTGGAAGGAAGTGAAAATGGAAGGAAGAGGGAAAGCATCTGAGGGAAACAAGGAAGAACCGATTGGAAGAAGTAAAAGTTTGTAAAAAAATACCCTGAAGTCAGACGGCAGCTTTCATTTCAGAATTTCTATGGAAAAAAACGAAATGCCAGAATGGGTTGAAAGCAATGAAGCTCTAGCAGCCATTTCCAGGTAAGAAGCAGCAGTGAGAGAACTCTGTTCCCAGCTCGGGACGTGGTTGGTTGCATTCCTCCCCAAGGAAAGAAACCTTGGAATCACAGAATCACGGAGGTTGGAGAACACCCCTCAGGTCCCCACGTCCAACCTCAGCCCATCGTGCCCAACGCACCACAGCCCTCAGTGCCACATCCCTGCGGTGCTGTGGTGATGGCGACCCCGACCCCGGGCACCCTGACTGCTGGTTGCTGGAGCGCTCCTACCTTCGGATACAGCCGGCAATGTCAGCCCTCTTGTACAGCAGAACGCCCAAAATCAGGCTGAGAAGAAGCAGCGTTCCAGCGGCTTTTACCGCAGCTCCGTACGCTTGGGAAGGAAAACAAAGAGCATCACACTCTGCGCACGCAAAACGTGCTGGCAGGGAATGGCAGCGTGTCGGGTGTTCCCCAGTGCACAAAGGATCAGGGGCTCACGTGCACGCCCTAGGAAACCTCCCTGATAACCCAAGTGGGAGCTACCAGTGTTCTCTTCTCTCTCAGAAGCAAGCGGAAGCCGTGAGGTGTTCATCAAAGAGGGTAAAGTGATGCTAAACAGGCCTGGGGACAATGAGCCTTTGGGACTGCGTTGCAAGGAGGTTGAGGACATGGCACACAAGCAAGGCAGCTTCCCGGGATGCACAGAGAAGGGCACGCAGGTGAAGAAGCACCCAAATATAGCCAGAAGGGTGAGTGGTTTGAGCTGAACATTGCTGATGGTTGAGGCTTCAGCGTGCAGATAAAGAAAGGTGGGAGGTTGTTTGTAAGGAAGGTGGGAAAGGGTTTCCTCCTTCCAGCACGCCTGAAGAGCCAACACGGAGACACCAGCTGCAGCCTAAGCATCAGCATCAGCCACTCTCCGTGGATTGAGGAGCACAGCACGGCCCCAGGAGGTGAGATATCACAGCGATGTTGGAGCGGCTGAGGGGAGGCACCGAGCGCTAACTGCTCCAAAGAGCTCGATTTCGGCAGGGCCACCGGGCTCCTTGCTGCTTCCTTTGCCTGGCCAAGCAATCAGCAGAAAGAGCTCAGAGCTCTTCATCAGCACCGATGGGCAGAGAGGGCCTGGGAAGGGCTTGAAAGCCGACCGTGGTCAGGAGCTGGAGCGCAGCTCTGCTGAGTGACTGCGGTTTTGTTCATCAGCAGGTCGTTACGCCTAATAGATGGGAAGGCAGAAGAGCATCCCTCAGGGGTACGTGCCCGGAAAATATTTATTTATGCCCTGTCATCCCAGGATCGGAGCTCTGCTGGAGATGTCTATTAAGAGGAGAGGAAAATTCTCCTAAGGGGGTTCTGATGAGCTCAACAGACGCTCCTCGTCAGCTGTCTTAATGAACTGCGTGCTGGCTGCTTGGCCCTGGTGCTTAATGGAATCGATCCGCAGTTCCTGTGGGTGCCCTGGGAGTGGCCAGAGAGGGCAGGCAGGGCGAGCACCACTGCCCTGATAAAAGGGAGGCGAGATGAGAGGAAAAAAAGAGATTAACATAGAATAAGATTAGAATAGAATCAAAATAGGGGAGTAGAATAGGGCAGAGTTGAGCAGATTATAGAAAGTGGAAGCGGCCCACGAAGCTCAAGTTCAATCAAATCCAAACCTGATGTGGCTAAATAGCGAAGGGAAAAGAGTTGCCCGAACCAAGGCTGGAATGATGTGAAAGCTCAGGTGGAAGGGTAGCAAGCTTGGTCAAAAGAAAACCGTGCTGAGAGGCGGTGTGATGTGCAGAGTGGCTGCCCCACAGCCTGCACTGTGCTCACCATAGTAAGAGGGAGGCGGTCCGCTGTCAACGCTGCCTCCAAACCCTTTTGCCCTGCAATCCGGAGGCGCCCATCCCAAATCACAGTGACAGTTGTTCTTGTTGTTGCAGACCTGAAAGAAAATGAATGTTTTACGGCATGAAAAATGCAGCAGTCATTGGGTGGCCCCTGGGGATTGGCCTCCAGGGCTTCGTCTCAGGACCCTGAGGCAAATCTGTCACTCTCCTTTGGCAGCCACCGTGGAAATGCTTAACCTCTGTTGTGTGCAGGTGGCAGACGGGTGCCCGGACACAGCTGTCACAAGCTGTGTGTTTGCTCTGTCGGTGACGTGAAGGCAGCAGGAGCTCCCCATCCACCCCTGCACCCTCCTGCTGTGATGATGGTCCCGCAGAGAGAGGCTGCAAACACAGCAGGAGGAGCTGACAGCACACAGAGGGTGAGAGATGGTTGCGTTTGCCTTTCTCCAGCTTAGCAGGAGTGCTTTCTGCGTGTCTCTGTTTTCATCTCGACATCACAAAGCACTTCTGCAGCCTTTGCTGCTTGCAGATCTGCCCTCCTTTTGCGGATGCTCTGTTTCTGCCACCACGACGCAGCGTTTCGCAAACGTGTCCCAAATGGATTTGTCACCTTCGTGTGATTCGAAATGAAGATAAAGACAGACAGAGGTGATGGCAAAACTCTCCTTTAACATCCATGCTGACACCCAGACAGATCTGCTCTCTGCAGGGAGATCTGTCTGGAAGGAGGGACAGGTAACGGGTGGCATCATAAATAAACCCCTGTGTGAAGAAGTTCTGCCAGTGCTACTGCCTGAAACGTGGGTTTTATGTGAGACTACATCGAAACGTTGTACAAAATGTGCCATTTCTGTGGCATTTGAGAGGAGAGCAGCGCTACAGAATCGAGCATGCATTTTTCAGAAGATCTCTCCAACTCTGGCTGATTCAGATTCAGCAGCACTGACAGCTGCACTGAAGGATGAAACATTACAACGCAGAAGTCACTTTTTTTTGCATTGTTTGTGGGAACGAAGAAGAAAAATGGCAGAGGAAGGCAGTGAACACTGAGGTAGAGAGCTGCAAGCCGTCAGAGCAGGATCCGGGGGGAAGTCATGTGTGGGAACCAAAATAATGTTTGTGCTGCTGAGCCAGGAGCCATTCGGAACCTCTGCATTGCTTTGAAAGGCAAACTGACACTTTGCACACTCTACCCTTCAAAGGACAGCTCGAGGTTTTCTACCTACCCCTTTGCCGTGGCATTTTCTCGCTGTGCAAACGCTGCTGAGGAAAGCTGCGCTGACACACGTCCTGTTGATGCAGATCTGCAGGAAGAGGCAGCTTGCTGTTAGTGCCGAGGTACAACGGCAGGCCTTGGAACAGGGCACCGACTGGTGAAGGAGGATGAAATTACAGAGCCTGTTCCTTTGTTCAGGGCTTTCCATGCCCTCTCTCTAAAGAAGCAACAAGGGGAAGGAATAGGAGCAAAAAAGGAAGGTTTTGTGTTTCAGGTCTGAGCCAAACCAAAGGGGAAGCTGAAGAAACCCAACTGAGCATCGCAGCGTGCGCAGAAACCAGTTCTACTTCAGGAGTCGTTCGTTTGCTGCAAAAACCCAATGGCCTGTATGAAGCCCCCCACGTGCCCGCTCCGCTCACACCCCTCCTTCAGCACCTGCCCGAGGCCAGGGAGGATGGATGGGTTGTGGATGGACCCCTCACAACCACCCTGATCTTCATAGGTGTGCGCTCAGTGAATAACGTGGAGCCTCCTCGTACCTTCAGGAGGCACACAGCTGTCTCCTCTGGGCAGGAGGAGATTTATTTTCAGCTTTTGGCCTTGCAAATTAATTGGTTTTGCGATGACTGCGGCGAGAGGCATGGGACCCATCTCTTCTGAAAGGGGAAGTCTACCAAGGGCTCCTTCTCTTGCCACTCAGCACGCGTGTTTTTCTCAGGACGGTTCTCTGCCATCTGGTAGCAAGAAATGCTCCTTCAGTACGTCACCGCCTCGACAGGACTTTGGCATTCTGAGTGCCTCGCAGGGAAGAAATGAGTCCTATTCTTGGAAGAACATTCACAATGCTTTTGTGTGCACAGCAAAGAAAGGTTGACTTTGATTGGCTGCTTCCGAAGGAGCGGAGAGTCTTTTACTTCCCTTTTCTAATGGAAAGACAGCTGTGTGCTGCCAACAACAAAAGCTACGACGACACACTGCTGTTTTCCAGCTGCTAAGGGAGGCTTTAACAGGCGGGGGCTGACATCAGAGGTCACGAATGTTTTCTTTAGGAAGAAAACCCTTCCCTTTCACCCCCGTCGTGCTCTATTCTAGCTGTCTGTGGGTACCTTGTTTGTGCCACACGACGTGCCGTCCTTCACCGAGCCGTCGTCAGGCGTGTCGAAAGGCAGGTGGAACTCGAGCCCCCAGCAGAGCTGGTTGTTCAGGAAGGTCTGGACCACGGTCTCGCCGTCTTGCCGGACTGGCACTCTTTTGATGTTAGTGCACTGCACTCTCCCGCACAGGATGTTCCTGAGATGGACAGACAGACAGACAGACAGGCTGCTGCAAGGTCTGCAGGGACGTCAGAGGGCGCAGTGATCCGTGCTGGTGTTGACACAGACCCTCCTGCCGGCTGGTGCTGGTGCCTTGGGCCAGGCAGGCTCAGCCCTTGGGGAGCTTTCAAGAAGTCGCAGAGATGCTTCCCCCTTGTTTTGAGCCTTGCTTTTCGTACCTTTCACCTGTTTTTTTTTTTATAAAGCATGAGAAATACTGATATTTCTGCTGGGAGGATTTAGGTATCGTTCCTCCGAAGCTCATCTCTGTGGCCAGAGGTTGGCCAGAGTGAAGCTCGAGTTCTGCTTGTGCAGTGCTCAGCATGAAAAGTAGGCTGAATGATGAATTTTCATTCTGGTGCCTGCTCCAATGACAGCAGTGTCCCAGTTGCTGGTGAAACACCAAAGTGCAAGCATGAAGGAAGGCAAGGTAGGCAAAGAATCACCGAATGCCTTGAGTTGGAAGGACCTTGAAATCATCTGCTTCCAACCCCCCGCTGTGGGCAGAGGAGCCACCTCTGGGCACGGGGAAGATCCCCAACATAGGCAGATCTCCTTGGTCTCGAACCGTTGTCCTGATCAAATCGCACAGGACGGGGATGGGAAGGAAAGCTTGGGGAGTGATGTGCTGAAAGGCGGAGGACAGCGCTGTGCAGGACAGTGTCCTCTCCAGGGCTGTCCCTCAAGGTGTGCTTTCAGGACATACTGACTGACCAGAGCTGCAAATGGTGGCGATGCTGAAAGGAAATAGCACTAAAGGTGGAAAAAAAAAACAACGGGGGGGGGGGAGGGGGGGGGTGGTTGGAGAAGAGCTTATCAAACGGAAAAGGAAAACGCGGTGCAGCCAGTTGACCCCTTGGAAAAGGAAAGCTGGAAACCTTTTGTGCCCAAATCCCAGCGACAAATGAGGCTGAATCTCTCTCAGGAAAGGGTCTGAGTGCCTCTGGTGGCGATGCCACCAGCACTTTGGCCACAACAACCTCATGCAGCGTTACAGGCTTGGGGATGAGCGGCTGTGAGTGTGGAGAGGAAAGGGAGCTGGAGCTGTTGGTTGGTGCTGGGCTGAACAGGAGCCAGCAGTGTGCACAGGTGGGCAAGAGGGCCAGCGGCAGCCTGGGCTGCATGAGGAATGGCCAGCAGAGCAGGGAGGGGAGCATCCCCTGCACTCAGCTCTGCTGAGGCCGCACCTCGAGTGCTGGGTTCAGTTTTGGGCTCCTCACTGCAGGAAAGATGTTGAGGCCCTGCAGCGTGCAGAGAAGGGCAGCGAAATGGGGAGGGGTGTGGAGCACAGGGCTGCTGAGGAGCGGCTGAGGGAGCTGGGAGTGGTGAGGGTGAGAAGAGGAGCTCAGGGGAGACCTGACTGCACTCTGCAACTGCGTGGAGGGAGGCTGTGATGTCAAAGGGCCTGGCCTCTCCTCCCAGGCAAATAGCAGGAGCCGAGGAAATGGCCGCAAGTTGCAGCAGAGGAGGTTTAGGTTGGACATGAGGCAGAACTGTTTCTCTCAGTGCTCAGGCGCTGCAATGGCTGCACAGGGAGGTGGGGGAGTCGCCGTCCCTGGCAGCGTTCAGGAGGCGCCTGGATGAGGAGCTGTGAGATGATTTGGTGCTGGTGGTGGCGATGGTGAGGAGGAGACGGTTGGACCGGATGATCTTACAGGTCGTTTCCAACCTTGTAATTCTATGATCCTATGATTCTATGCCCACGCTCCGTCACCGCACTGCTCACCCCTCCAGGCACTTGGTGTAGTGCGTGCCGTTCCAGCCGCAGTTCCCACTGCGGTCCCCTCGCTCGTTCACGTCCCTGAAGCAGCTCAGTGGGGCACGGCGGGCGGCTGCGGAGTGGGAGAAAGGAGGAGATTGCTGTGGTGAGGCAACTCCCGATGGTTTCTGTGGGTGTTCTGATGGCCCGATGTGTTTCATGGATTCTGTTTGTGTGTGTGTCTTGTTTTCCTCTTTTGGGCTGTAATGAAGTGGCGAGGGGGAGAGATTTGCTGCAAGGGAACAATCAATGGTCAGAGAACGGACCACGCTCATTTGTCTGGAATAATCTGGAGTGGAAGATTGGGATAAAGACTGTAAATCTCTCCAAAGCCTACTTCTTTCTTTCTTTCTTTCTTTTTCTTTTTCTTTGTCATTAAAACAAATGTGCCAGTGTACCTTAGATTTACCCTGAAACCAGAATCCCTACCGTTATGCTCTGTATTAACAGGAAGGATTCTGGTCAGACGTCAGAAACAACTCCCAGAGTTGGGTTTCAGCAAGACAGAACCACTTCCAACCCGGGGAGCCCCCAGTTTTTCATCCTCATATTCACCAAGCGTTGCCTACAGCGTGGCCAACGCTGCTGCCTTTGTGGGCAATGTTTGTGGCTCTGCAGACTCCAAACTTTTTGTAGATGTGGCAGAGCAGGGAGGAATGTGGCTTTGTTTGCAGAAGGCTTGCGTGTGCTCATAGCGAAACCGACAGCTCGAGTCCTGGTGGTCGCTGCTGCTGTCGGTGAGGAGGAAGTGCGGAGAGCATGTGCTGTGCCACGGCCTTGGGACGTGACCTGGGGAAGTCTGCTACTTCCTACAGAACTGAGAGAGCCTCAAAGAGGATGTGGGCATGCGCTGCGTTTCCAGTTAAAACTGGGGGAAATGCAGATGCGCAAATTGAGAGCGCTGCTGCTTTCAGCTGCGTCAGAAGGGTTTCGATGGCTGTTACCATCGTGCGTTTATTTCTGGTTCTTCATTACTAGAAGTGCCATTCCCTTGTCCCACTGAGCGCGAGATGCACCTAAGCAGCACTGCAGCAGCTGATGCCTGAGGGAACCACGTTTCTGCTGCCCTGACTGTTGTAAACAGATATCTTATACTGCCTTTAAATGTGTGTTGTTTCACCTGTGTAGCGGTGTAGCTACTGTTATAAAAGCCCGGGGCATTTCAAAAGTATTCTGTAATAATTCCCTCTTGTCTCCTCTCCCCCAGGTGCTCAGCCCCAGGGCGCTCAGCCTGTCCCCACCACGAGCTGCTCCAGGCCCCCACCATCTCTGCACCCTCACCAGGCTCTCCCCAGCAGTTCCCTTTCTACCTGGAGCTGGGCAGCCCAGCACTGGGTGCAGTACTCCAAGTGTGCCCCCCCAGGGCAGAGCAGAGGGAAGGAGCACCTCCCCGTCCTGCTGCCCACACTCTGTGCATCCCAGCTGGCCTTCTTGGCCTCCAGGGCGCACTGATAGTGTGTACTCAGCTCTGGTGAGGCCGCACCTCGAGTGCTGGGTTCAGTTTTGGGCTCCTCACTGCAGGAAAGATATTGAGGCCCTGGAACGTGTTCAAAGGAGGGCAACAGAGCTGTGAGAGGTCTGGAGCACAGGGCTGGTGAGGAGAGGCTGAAGGAGCTGGGAATGTTCAGCCTGGAGAAGAGGAGGCTCAGGGGAGACCTCATTGCTCTCTATAACTTCCTGAAGGGAGGCTGCAGGGAGCTGGGGGTCGGCCTCTGCTCTCGTGCCATCAGTGATGGGAGCAGAGGGAATGGCTTCAAGCTGCGGCAGGGGAGATTCAGGCTGGACACGAGGAAGTATTGCTTGTCAGAAAGGGTGGTCAGGCACTGCAATGGATGCCCAGGGAGGTGGGGAGGCACCGAGCCTGGGGGTGTTCAAGGCAAGGCTGGATGCTGTGCTGAGGGACGGGGTTTGGTGGGAGCTGTTGGGAATGGGGGAACGGTTGGACTGGGGGAGCTTGGAGGTCTTTTCCAACCTTGGTGATTCTATGATTCTATGATTCTATGATTCTATGATTCTATGATCCTATGATCCTATGATCCTATGATCCTATGATTCTATGATTCTATGATCCTATGATTCTATGATTCTATGATTCCATGATTCTATGATTCTATGATTCCATGATTCCATGATTCTATGATTCTAGGATTCTATGATCCTATGATTCTATGATTCTATGATTCCATGATTCTATGATTCCATGATTCTATGATTCTATGATTCTATGATTCTATGATTCCAAGATTCCATGATTCTATGATCCTATGATTCCATGATTCCATGATTCTATGATTCCATGATTCTATGATCCTATGATTCTATGATTCTATGATCCTATGATTCTATGATTCTATGATTCCATGATTCTATAGTCTGCGATCTGCCTGCAGCCAACGGTTGACCAACCAGGACCCCATTGGCCTTCTTGGCCACCAGGGCACACTGCTGCCTCATGGTCAGCTGCTGGTCCACCATTGGCCAACCAGGACACCAACAGCTCTCTTGGCCACGGGGGCACGCTGCTGGCTCATGATCACCCTGCTGGTCACCAGGACCCCCAGGTCCTTCTCCACAGAGCTCCCTCCTTTCTGGCAGGTCAGCCCAAGCCCATACTGATGCCTAAATGCTGAAGCATTTCTAAGGCGAGAGCTAATTCCACATGGGAGGATTTGCTGATTCCTTATGTCAGTTATTAACTTGCCTTTGCCAAACAGAGCCTTGCACTGCGCCTCGTGGCTGTGGCACTGCCCTTCGTAGCAGTGGTTGTTGTTGCCACATGGAGTTCCATCTTGCTTAAACACATCCACAGGGCAGCTGGCTGAGTTGCCATTGCAGTACTCTGGCAGATCACACTCGCTCTGGTGCGCTCTGCAGATTTTTCCTGCTGGCTGAAACTGTGAAAAGGGGAAGGGAGGGGAGGGGATGGAAAAGGAGGGAAGGGAAGGGAAGGGAAGGGAAGGGAAGGGAAGGGAAGGGAAGGGAAGGGAAGGGAAGGGAAGGGAAGGGAAGGGAAGGGAAGGGAAGGGAAGGGAAGGGAAGGGAAGGGAAGGGAAGGGAAGGGAAGGGAAGGGAAGGGAAGGGAAGGGAAGGGAAGGGAAGGGAAGGGAAGGGAAGGGAAGGGAAGGGAAAAGGGAAGGGAAGGGAAGGGAAGGGAAGGGAAGGGAAGGGAAGGGAAGGGAAGGGAAGGGAAGGGAAGGGAAGGGAAGGGAAGGGAAGGGAAGGGAAGGGAAGGGAAGGGAAGGGAAGGGAAGGGAAGGGAAGGGAAGGGAAGGAAGGGAAGGGAAGGGAAGGGAAGGGAAGGGAAGGGAAGGGAAGGGAAGGGAAGGGAAGGGAAGGGAAGGGAAGGGAAGGGAAGGGAAGGGAAGGGAAGGGAAGGGAAGGGAAGGGAAGGGAAGGGAAGGGAAGGGAAGGGAAGGGAAGGGAAGGGAAGGGAAGGGAAGGGAAGGGAAGGGAAGGGAAGGGAAGGGAAGGGAAGGGAAGGGAGAGAAAGAAGCAAACATTGGTTCCCCTGCACTGTGAGTGCAGTGGCAGTGCTCGTGCCGTGGCTCACCCGGCACTTGTGGCAGCATTCTCCTCTGTAGCAGGAAGCTCCTGGGGCGAGCCGGCAGTTGGAGGAGCAGCATCGTTCGTTGAGGCATGCCTGGAAGTAAACCACACCAGAAGGCTGTGGCTTTAGTTTCTTATCAGGACACCTCCAGCATAAAGGATCGTGTAATCAGAGGAATTTATGGGAGGGAGAAGCCTGCTCTTTTCTGCTGCTCTTCAAGCACTTGGGCTCGCTGCAGTTCTCTGGCACAGGGAAGGACACCTCGTGTCAACAATGCTGAAACAATTCCCATTTTTCCCTCGAGATGAACACTGCCATCTCATCTCCGCTCATCAGCCAACCTGCACACCGCACAGCGCTGCTCTAAGAATGGGTTCCTTGGTGCTTCCAGGGTGCTTGGAAACCCCTCTGAGATGACAGGAGAGCTCATTCTCCCTTTCTGTCATTCTCCCCTTCTTTTGCCCTTTCCTTCCTTCCCTTTTTCAACTCTTCCACCTATAATTCACCTCAAAATTCCAAACTCTCCAAATCCTTCTTGATGTCAGCGCTGATGGACTCCATGATCTTAGTGTCGTTTTCCAACCTTAATGGTTCCGTGATTCCGTGACCCCAAACTTTGTCCCATAAACAAAGTTAACGAGTTGATTTTAAGGATACCTGGAGTATCCTTGAAAAAGAGATATCTTCTCTTTAGCTCTCCTTACAAAGCAATTTTTAGCTTAAGGAGGGGATTTGGAAACAGTAAAGGGTTCTTATTATTACACAGGTACACAAACCCGGAGGAAGATGGAATAATGGGGCTTTTTGCAAAGACCACAGCTCCCAAATTGCTGGCAGAGAACTTTAGGTGACCTGGAGAGGCCAGACGAGTAATGTGTTGTTTTAGAGGGAAGGTAAGATGTTGTTAAGACTCTTTATGGGATGTTCTGGGGGGGTTCTGAAGGGGTGGCTTGGAGGCAAGACCAAAGGTGGAGAGAAGTGAAGGTGGATTAGGGTGGAACAGGCGTGGGAGGTGGAAAACAGAGGGGCAAAAGGAGCTGTAGTGGAAGGAAGCTCGTGGTTGGCGTGCTTGACCCCATGTCTGATGGAGGAGAAGAGCTCTGGCAGCAGCCAGCAGGGCTCTGCAGGCAGGAGGCGGCTTTTCCTGGAGCAGAGCCCTCAGCAGTGAGGTGCAGGGCGTTCTGCCCATGCCCACATCCAGTGCACATGGGGACACGTCAGGGTGAAGGCTGCGTTTTGATGGAGGGGCACAAATGGCAGCTCCACGGGTTGCATGCGAGATTTTGCTGGCAAATTCAGCCTTGCTGAAGTGCTGCAACCGCATGGGTGACAGCCGTGGAGATACACCGACAGGATGGAAGTGCTTCTTCCATTGACTTTAGCATAAATGCAATAGAAAAAAGAGAATGGAAACAGAAAAGCTCTTATTTTGCAGGCAGGAAGACGGCGAGTGGCGATAATCTGCCTGTACACAGAGCAGCTCGGATGCAAAGACGCGTCCTTCCCGCAGAGCCCCCCTGAAACCTGCCTGAAAACCCTCCCTTTGCTGATCATTGGCTTTTATAATTGCCAGGACACTGCAGGTTTTGCAGTGCCATTCTGCCGTGCAGATCGTGGCGAAACGCCGAGCTGCTCACCTTGTCTTTGCCGCAGTCGCACTGCTCTCCTCTCTCCAGGACGCCGTTGCCGCAGTGTTCAGAAAGGGACGGTTTTAAAGGCGGTATGTTGAGCAGGCAAGGTTTGTTTTTTCTTATGACTTCCTCGTAATATTCCTTCAGAGTGCAGTTACTGAATGCCAAGCAAGATCTGCAAGAAGAAAAGAAAAAAGATGATATGTGTGTTATATCACCTACGTATACTTGGTGGACTCAAAGAGGTTGCTGTTCCAATGGATGATGGTGAAAGCTGAAGGAGCAGAGGGCCATGAAATGCAGTTCCCCGACTTGCTGAGGTCTTTACCCCACCATAAGCAGAAGCAGGAGTGCTGATGGCTCCCTCTGAAACGCATTTCGGGTGATTTTAGTTAATCAGCGGAACGGTTTTTCTACATTATGGTCCTGCAACAAGAGAGAGGGGGGAAGGAGCATCTCCTGCCACGTGCAAGGTGACTTTCTGGAAGATGTGCATGTGCAGATGTGGCACCGAGGGCCACGGTTTGGTGGGGTTGTGTTGGTAGATGGCTGGACTGGATGATCTTGGAGATGTTTCCCACCCTTGGTTCTGAGATACTCACCCAGCTGTGAGCAGCACTTGGAGGAAGCAGGTGGAAAATGGACAGACAGTTATTGCATCACCAGCGGAAGGCAAGAAGAGGAGTTTGTGTGACTGTGTGTCTCAGGGAGAGCTGGGATCTCCTGTCTTATCTACAGCAGCCACAGCCCCTGCACAACCCCAGCAGGCACTTGAAGGTGGGCAGCAGAAGGCGAGCACCCAAATCCCACCCGAAGCAACGGAGGGAGAGCCAGGCTTCGCTCACTCACCCTGGGCGTAATCCCATGATGCAGCCCCTGTGGGTGCAGTTGCAGTCGCAGGATTTGTGCTGGAATTGTTTCCCGTCGTCGTGGCTGAAGCCCAAGCTGTGGCCCATCATGTGCGCCAGGGTCATCGCGTTTTGGACGGTGTCTTGGCCAGAGAACTGCAGGAGAACAAGCACAAGTCGGTGCCTTCTTGAGCAGAGGGCGTGGGTGCAGAGATGCTCAGAGCCAGGCTTCCAGCAATGTGAAATTTGTGCCAGCTGGGAACTCTTCTCCAAATGAGGGGCCAGGCGTTGGCACAGAATGCACAGGAGGTGGTGGGGGCATCTGCCCTGGAGATGTGGCTCTGGGGGACTGTGGACCATGGAGATGTGGCATAAAGGGACTGCGGGTCACAAAGATGTGGCACTGAGGGACTGTGGGTCACGGAGATGTGGCACTGAGGGACTGTGGATGATGGAGATGTGGCACTAAGGGATTGTGGATGATGGAGATGTGGCACTGAGGGACTGTGGATGATGGAGATGTGGCATAAAGGGACTGTGGGTCACAAAGATGTGGCTCTGAGGGACTGCAGGTCACAGAGATGTGGCACTGAGGGACTTTGGACCCTGGAGATGTGGCACTGAGGGACTGTGGATGACAAAGATGTGGCACTGAGGGACTGTGGGTCACAAAGATGTGGCTCTGAGGGACTGCAGGTCACAGAGATGTGGCACTGAGGGACTGTGGGTCACAAAGATGTGGCACTGAGGAGCTGTGGGTCACAAAGATGTGGCACTGAGGGACTTTGGACCCTGGAGATGTGGCACTGATGGACTGTGGATGACAAAGATGTGGCACTGATGAAGGTGATTTAGTGGCAGTGATGGGTTGGGGTTGAGGACGGGGATCTTGGAGGTCTTTTCCAACCTGAATGATTCCATGATTTGATCATTCTGTGGAACTGTAAGTACTGCATAGGAGTACGGTTTACGGGGGGAATATTATGGTCTGGGAGGCCTCTCCTTACCGAGACGACGCCGACGGAGTTGGGCTGGCACACCGCCCCCTTCCAGGTAAAGCCCCACTCCTTGTAGTGCTCACCGCTGCAGCAGAGAGGTTTGGGCATTAGAGAACCTATAAATTCATCACAGCTACAGGATGCATTGCTGGGGCTGCAGCTGGAAAATGACAGCTGCCAGGTAGCAAGGATCTTCTTTCTGAAAGCAAAATCCATGGGCATCCTTTCAGCTCCATGCCAGCACTTGGGCTGGCTGTGTGGCTTCCCTTCTCTGCTGAGTGACCGCAGATACAGACACAACGTGTGTCTTAATATGATTTTTTTCCTTGCAGAAAGAAGTCAAAACGGGAGCAAAGTGAGAGGTCTTAAAAAAAAAAGCAAACAAAGTGTTTGAACAGCTTGCAGGCTGAGCTCTGATTCCCCCCCATCCAAAGCTTTAATTCAAATATTGGGCTGTAAACCACCTGAGAACGGGTCAGTGAGTCTAAAAAATGAACGGCCAGTCTGCCTATGAGATTATAATAATTCAGTTACGGACAACTGTAGTGGAATTGGAAGGAAGATGTACGCTACGTGTATGGATCTGTGGGAAGCCATAAAAGAGGACAAGGAAAAGGAGGGGCAACGAAATTAAAATCCTCTGCGTACCAGTTTGCATGGCAAATGCGTGCTGATTAATAGCACGGGCTAAGCTGGAAAATCTTCTCTTGTAAGATACGGCCAGGACAAATGAGCACGAAGGGGCAGGAATTAGGAAGGCTGGGGAAGAAGCCACCCTTACAGCAGCAGCTCCACGTGGTCGTAGCCGAGGCGATCTGCAGCATCCTGCTGGCACCAGCTGCTGAAGGACCGCAGCGTCTGGGACAAACTCTGCCTGGCCGCAACCTGGTCCTCTGAGGTCCACATCTCCACCGCGCTGAGGACGACCTGCAGCTTCATGCTCCTGTAGACCTGCGGGCGGCAAGAGCTTGGGTTGATGTGTGGGTAGGAAACGGCCTCAAGTCGCACCAGGGGGAGGTGAGGGTGGAGGTTTGGAAGAAGTTCACCCTAGAAAGGGCCACCGAGCGTTGGAACGGGCTGCTGGGTGGTGGGGGCGTCCCCAACTCTGGAGGTGTTTGGGACGTGGCTCCAAGGGATGTGGTTTGGTGCTGGGATTCGCTAGGTCATAGAGTCATCGAATCATAGAGTTATAGAATCATAGAATCATAGGATCATCGAATCATAGGATCATAGAATCATAGGATCATAGGATCATGGAATCACAAGGTTGGAAACGACCTGTAAGATCATCCGGTCCAACCGTCTCCTCCTCACCATCGCCACCACCAGCACCAAATCATCTCGCAGCTCCTCATCCAGGCGCCTCCTGAACGCTGCCAGGGACGGCGACTCCCCCACCTCCCTGTGCAGCCATTGCAGCGCCTGAGCACTGAGAGAAACAGTTCTGCCTCATGTCCAACCTAAACCTCCTCTGATACAACTCCTTGCCATTTCCTCGGCTCCTGCTATTTGCCTGGGAGAAGAGGCCAGGCCCTTTGACACCACAGCCTCCCTCCACGCAGTTGCAGAGTGCAGTCAGGTCTCCCCTGAGCTCCTCTTCTCACCCTCACCACTCCCAGCTCCCTCAGCCGCTCCTCAGCAGCCCTGTGCTCCACACCCCTCCCCATTTCGCTGCCCTTCTCTGCACGCTGCAGGGCCTCAACATCTTTCCTGCAGTGAGGAGCCCAAATCTGAACCCAGCACTCGAGGTGCGGCCTCAGCAGAGCTGAGTGCAGGGGATGCTCCCCTCCCTGCTCTGCTGGCCATTCCTCATGCAGCCCAGGCTGCCGCTGGCCCTCTTGCCCACCTGAGCACACATCGTTGTGATGTTGGGCAGGGTGAGCTGGGAGGTCTTGGCCAACCTAGACAGCTCTGTGCTTCCTATTCCAACTTCAGGCGTCTGCGATCCCATCATCCTGCCTCCTGCCTCTCTCTGGAACTGGCTCAGCAGCCAAAGATCCAGAGCCAAGCGCTGGTGGCTGAGCGCCGTGTTTGTTTTCCTGCATGATGGTAATGCAGGAGGGCTTTCTGCCCAGCCTGGAGTGACTGAGCTTGTGGCTGCCGCCCCAGTGCCCCATCAATGTTCTTTCCAGAGGTTCAAAGCAAGATAATGAAGAGAGAGGGAGAATATAATGAGCTACCAGGAAGCATTTAGCACCGATAATGCATATTCCATCGAGCAGCTTGAAGGGGATAATTTCACAATTATTTCTCAATTGGCTTCCCTCACACTTGAAGCAATTTTTTAGCCATGGAATTGGGTTTTACATCATTCGGGAGCTCATTGCTGCCTGGCAGTGTTTGCAGACACAGCAGCCATTCCTTCCCCAAGTCCTGGCTTGGCACCGAGCGCTGCTGGCGTTCTCCCATGGGAACTCACCGTGTTCAGGATGTTGCTGATGGAAATGAAGAGGTGCAGCATCAGGGTCTCGTTGTGTCTGTTGGCTTTGAACTGGAAGGGGAGCAGAGATGAAGTTACGGCCTCGGGGTGCAAACAGGAAGCCCCACAGATCCCCCCTCAGCTGCTTCCCGGCTGTGCAGATGTGCAAAGATGCACTGAATACGGCACGAAGGGACGCAGACCTGGATCAGAAAGTAACAACACGGGAAGGATGCGAGCTGGTGGCGCGCTGCACAGCTGCCCAGGGAGCTGGAGGTCACTGGAGGGGTTCCAGAACCATAGGGATCACAGATCACAGAATGGCCAGGGTTGGACGGGACCTCAAGGATCATGAACCTCCAACCCCCCCTGCCACATGCAGGGCCACCAACCTCCACGTTTAATGGGGATGTGCCACAGAAGGATGGGATGGGATGGGTTGAGCTTGGGCTTGGGGATCGTGGAGGCCTGTTCCAGTCTTTGTGATTCTGTGACCCACAGGGTGGGGTTTGCCACCCCACTGAGGCTCTGTTGTTTCGGGAAGACAACTTTTGGCATAGACAGGAACCTGCTCGTTCAGTAACACGACGCAGGGAAAGGTGTGCTTGCTTGCAATAGCCTCTGTTAAACAAAGCCCTTTCCAGGACCTGCATTCCCATAGGACTCTTTGACACATCGTTACGTTCCGATAAATACGAGCATCATTCTCAAGTGCTCAGATGAACCCCGAAAGCACCGCTCGGATCCGTCCCTGAGCGCGTTACAGCAGCCAGCCCCCAGCACTTGTTTTAAAACCATTCCTTCTCTCTCAGCCTCTGATTACAGCATTGCACGCTGCCTAAAGAAGTGCTTGGGTCGGCTGCACGTGAACGACGGGGTTCTTCTCTACGGACAGCGTGGCACCACGTGCCCTGTTTTCAGGGGAAGCGTTCGGTGCCTCCGACACAACGGCCGTAGCAAAGCACCGTGGCAATGGCACCTGGCGCTCACCAGCTCCTTGTTGGTGACCAGAGCTAATTCCAGGTATCTGGTGGACATGGGCAGCATCTCGAAACCGGGCACCTCCTGGAAGAGGGAAGAAATGACACAAATCGCCTATCAGGGGCTGCCCAGGGCTCCGAAGCTTTGCAGAACCAAGTGCAGGATTTCCCTGGTGAGCACGAGAACGCAGAGACTACGTGATAGAGATGGAAAAAGCATTAATGAGTGCAGTGAGTAATCAGGGACGGAACAGAGAGATTCAGAGACAGAATGTGGTCGTAGATTGGGTGTCATTGCTCGTGTTCAACTTTTGCATGATTTTCCTATCGCTCAGACCGTGAAATGCAGCACCAAAAAGCTGTTCTGCACCAGAGCTGTGCTCTGCCCATCAAACAGCAGGAGGCCAGCAGCTCCTTGCTGTAAGACTCCAAGCGCTCCTGGACTGAAGCTCCAGGCACTGGAAAGGCACTGGAATGGCTCTTGCTTCGTTCTGTTGGGCTTTGATGTCCCCAGAGCATCAACACGTCACAGCAGCGGGAGCCTATCGATGGCAGGTGCTCTCAGCCTTGGGCTTCTGCATTTTGTACATGAATTGCTGACAGCAACTGGTCAATGCGTGATCTTCCGCGCGTGGCGTAGAATCGCAGCATCATCCATGTTGCAACAGACCTTCAATGCCATCCAGTCCAACAGCAGCCTCGATGGCAGCAACATCCCACCCCTGCAAAGCGTCGCCTCACCATGGGGACGTCCTGAGCCCAGGATGGCATCTTTGGGTTCAAAGTTTTGCTTTTGGGAGGTGGAAAATCCTTGTGTGTTCTGGAGTGCTGCAGTGTGATCTGCAGGGCTTGAATGCAATCAAAGCACTGGACCGTTTCCCTCCTGATTTCTTGCCCCAAATGCAATCACAACGTGCTGGCATTGCTGGAGCTGCCAGCAGTTCCTGCTCACAGGTGCAGGAATGACACTGCGTCTCAGCTCTGCTGACACAACGGACAGCGATGACAAACGTCCTCACCAGCCCCAGAAAGCACCGACAAAGCAAATAATTGCTCTTTCTCCTTCTGAAAACGGGGACTTGAGCAACATCAGAAGACGGAGAACAAACTGATTTCCTCTGAGAAACGTGGGATGGACGTTTCTGACCGGCAGAGAAGTGGCAGACTGTTTGTGTAATGTGTTCTTCCCATGTGATGTGAGCAAACCGGGGCAGTGCAGCACAGATGCACCCCCTGATGCTCATAAAACCCAACCTTTCACATAACCCACGTGGCTCTGAACCCTGCGTGGTGCTGAGCCGAGCTGACGGAGCGCCCGTACCTCCACGCTGAGCATTGCCCTGCTCCCGTTGGTGTGGTCTCCATCCTTGGCTGGCTGTTCCGTGGGCAGCTGGCACGGTGGGACCCAGCCCTCTGCTGGCTCTGTGCGATAGATGAGGTGCTGGAACGTGGAGGAGTTCTGCACCGGCTGCACCTCGTACTGCAGGTCCCCGATCTGCAGAATTCCTCTGGGCGTTCGGATAGAGAGAGGTGAGAAGCTTGGCTTCTGAAATCGGTTAGCAAAGGGAAGAAGAAGCCAAGGGCTGGAAGGGTGGCCCGTCCCGAGGGCTTGGGGCCGTCAGACAGAAACCCCAACAGTCCGCACTCTGTTGGGAAGGATGGAATGAGAAAAACGTCCTTGGTAGCACTGAAAGGAGGTTGCAGAGAGGGGGAGGTCGGCCTCTGCTCCCAGGTAACAGCGATAGGGTGACGGTCAGGTTGGGTATTAGGGATAATTCCTTCTCCAAAGAGTGGTGATGCATCGATGCATCTGCCCGGGGGGGGGGATCACCGTCCTCGGGGGTGTTCAGAACCACGGGGGTGTGGAATTGAGGGTTGGGGTCATTGGTGGGGATGGGTTGGGGATGTTGGAGGTCTTCTCCAACCGGAACGATTCTGTGATTCGACGATTCTGTGAACCTGTAGGCAGGGATCCAGTGAGGAGGTACAAAGAGCGTCATGCCCAGCGTCAGGGGGACGTGAGATGTCCTTGAAAGAGCAATCAAGGCTTTGGGGAAGAGCTAAAAAGCCGCAGATGAACAATGTACGTTGCTCAGAGAATCACAGAATCGTGGAATATCCTGACTTGGAAGGGGCCCATAAGGATCATCAAATCCATCTCATGGGGGGGGGGGGGGGGGGTTCCATCTTTAGGCTGCTTATTTCCACACCGATTCTGTGCTGTGGCTAAGCAGGATCTCTCTGCATTTACATCCCAAAAATCCACGATGCATTGCTCAGCACGTGGCCCTACCTGATCCCACACTGAAATCTACAACACATTGCTCAGTGCTCAGCCCTACCTGATCCCACACTGAAATCTACAACACATTGCTCAGTGCACAGCCCTACCTGATCCCACACTGAAATCTACAACGCATTGCTCAGTGCACAGCCCTACCTGATCCCACACTGAAATCTACAACGCATTGCTCAGTGCACAGCCCTACCTGATCCCACACTGAAATCTACAATGCATTGCTCAGTGCACAGCCCTACCTGATCCCACACTGAAATCTACAACGCATTGCTCAGTGCACGGCCCTACCTGATCCCATAGCAGGTGCTGAGGGCCACGATGGAGCCCGGCGACCCTTCCACAAAGCCCTCATAGAAGCAGTCGTCCTGCAAGGTACAAGCCAGCTCAGAAATGCATCCATAAAAAGAGATGTGAAAGTCGCAGCGTGGAGTCTTTGGGTTCATGGTGAATTGAGGGGAGGATGTTTTGGGGGTTCCTCAATTTCCCTGCACCTGGATGTAGGGGAACTCGGTGATCAGCTCTCCCCTGGGGCCGTATGTGTAAACCGGGAGCTCCTTGGCTACCAGATTTCTGTAAGGCAAAGCAGAAATTCAAGCGGACCCCATAGGGGGCCCACTTGGAGGTGGCAGGGGAGGAGGCAGAGCCTTACTTTGCCCGAGTCAGATGGACGACGTGGTAGCTTCCCTCTGCCACGATTAAATAGGCCACGTCGTCCTGAAACACCCAAAGCACAGCGCGTTCGCACCGCTTCATTCCAACCACCTCCCCTTGAGGAAACCCCATCTGGAGGTTGGTTTGGAGAGGAAACCCCTCTCTTTGGCATCCCAGCTCTGAAATATGCTTCCCAACATCATTCCCCAAAGCTCCTGACCTGCGTGGCCGCCCCGTGCCTCGGCTCCAGCTGCCTTGGCACCATCACTTCGGAGTAGATGACCCTCGATGCTCTGCTAAAGCCTGGAAGAGGTTCTGCATTGGGGACCAAGGTGGGAAGCATTCCCTCCCCTCCCCTTCCACGCAGAAGAAGGATTCTGAGGGGATTTCAATATATGAATCAATGCCATATTTAAATTTACAGATTTTTTGGTGGGAGGCGTGGGGGGGAGATGGGTTCAGCATCTCTTTTCGCTGCTGAAACCGACTTCTAAAGAAGTGCAAGAGAGGAGAACCCCCACGTCGATCTCTCTTCGTTTAAACTGGGAGGAACGGGGCAATCGACAGCATTTCGAGATGCTGAGCCCTGTGTGCACAACTCCTGCTTGCATCCCCCAGCCCTCAGCCCTCCTGCCACATCCCCCTCCCACACCCCTGTCCTACCTGAGCAGAGGATCAGGACCACGACCGCTGCGCCCCCCAGGCTTGGGCATTGCCTCATCCCCATCTTTGTGACCCCGGCAGCCTGGTGAGCACTGTTGGGGATGCAGTGTCAGCCAGGCGCTCCCCCCATTGCCCCCAGCTCCCTGCTGGCCCCAAGCCCCCACTGTCAGCATCACCCACCCCCACATCCCACCAGCAGCCCAGTGAGGTACCTCTACTTCCTGACCCACCTATCCAACAACCTGGATCTTTCCAATTCTTATCCCACTGCCTCACAGCCTTACCCTACCACCCTCCAACTGCCATCTGGGCACCTTTCAATGACCTGGAGCCCCTCTACCTGCCTTCTAACCCCATCCCCATCCCCATCCCATCCCATCCCATCCCATCCCATCCCATCCCATCCCATCCCATCCCCATCCCAAACCCATCCCAACCCCATCCCCACCGCCATCTCATCTCCATCCCATCCCCATCCCCATTCCCACCCCATCCCATCCCCATCCCCATCCCCATCTCCATCCCATCCCCATCCCCATCCCCACCCCATCCCATCCCATCCCCATCCCCATCCCATCCCCATCCCCATCTCCATCCCATCCCATCCCATCCCATCCCATCCCATCCCATCCCATCCCATCCCATCCCATCCCATCCCCATCCCCATCCCCATCCCCATCCCATCCCCATCCCATCCCATCCCATCCCATCCCATCCCATCCCATCCCAACCCCATCCCAACCCCATCCCCATCTCCATCTCATCTCCATCCCATCCCCACCCCCATCCCATCTCCATCACATCCCCATCCCCATCCCCATCCCATCCCCATCCCCATCCCCATCCCCATCTCCATCCCATCCCCATCCCATCCCATCTCCATCCCCATTCCCATCCCCATCCCATCCCCATCCCCATCCCCATCCCCATCTCCATCCCATCCCCATCCCCATCCCCATCTCCATCCCATCCCCATCCCCATCCCATCCCCATCCCCATCCCCATCCCCATCCCATCCCATCCCATCCCATCCCATCCCATCCCATCCCATCCCATCCCTTCCCATCCCCATCCCCATCCCCATCCCCATCCCCATCCCCATCCCCATCCCCATTCCCATCCCATCCCCATCCCATCCCATCCCCATCCCATCCCCATCCCCATCCCCATCCCCATCCCATCCCCATCCCATCCCATCCCATCCCATCCCATCCCATCCCATCCCATCCCATCCCCATCCCCATCCCATCCCATCCCCATCCCATCCCCATCCCATCCCCATCTCCATTCCCATCCCATCCCCATCCCATCCCCATCCCCATCCCCATCCCCATCCCCATCCCATCCCATCCCATCCCATCCCTGTCACTCTTCCAACTGTCACCTTGGCCTGTTCCAGCACCTCCCCTTCTCCCTTCTCACCTCCAACTGTCACCATTCCTCCTCGTCCTGCCATCCCACCCCACCCCATTCCTCCTCCACCTGCCATCCCACCCCATGCCACCTCACCCCACCTCATCCCCTCCCCACACCTCTCCCCAGTTTCACCCCTCCTCCAACTGCCACCTGAACCCCTTCTGCCACCCCCCCACTGTCCGTTCTCACCTCCAACTGCCACCCTCCCTCCCTCCTCACCCTGTCCCACCCGCCTCTGCCCCACAAGTGCTTTCCTTCTCCCTGCAGCCCATAATCTCCTGAATTCCTGGGGCTGTTAATGCCCAAATTGTGACCATTGATGCAGGAAACGATGCGTTTTATGCGTTCATCCTCATCTCCCATCCCTCTGTCCTCCCAGGGTCATGGCATGGGACCGGGGGGAGGCGGATGGCACAGCTGGATGGGGTGCAGCCCCTCTGCTGCCCACGGGGAGAATGGAGATGCAGCTGCAGGAAGCTCAACAGGAGCGTGTGAGGAGCGAGAGGAGGCAGCAGGGAGACCTCACAGCCCTGCAGCTTCTCATGTCCTGCAGCTCCTTGCGGCCCTACGGCTCCTCCTGACCCTATGGCCCCTCGTGGCCCTATAGCTCCTCATGTCACCACCTCTCCTCGTGTCCCTACAACCCCTCATGACCCTACAGATCCTCATGGCCCTAAAAGCTCCTTGTGGACATGTATCTTCCTCATGCCCTAAACCTCCTGCATGTCCTACATCTCCTCATGGCCCTACATCTCCTCATGGCCCTACATCTCCTCATGGCCCTACATCTCCTCATGACCCTACATCTCCTCATGACCCTACATCTCCTCATGACCCTACATCTCCTCATGACCCTACATCTCCTCATGGCCCTACGTCTCCTCATGACCCTACATCTCCTCATGGCCCTACACCTCCTCATGGCCCTACATCTCCTCATGGCCCTACATCTCCTCATGACCCTACATCTCCTCATGGCCCTACATCTCCTCATGACCCTACATCTCCTCATGGCCCTACACCTCCTCATGGCCCTACACCTCCTCATGGCCCTACATCTCCTCATGGCCCTACATCTCCTCATGGCCCTACACCTCCTCATGGCCCTACACCTCCTCATGGCCCTACATCTCCTCATGGCCCTACACCTCCTCATGACCCTACATCTCCTCATGGCCCTACATCTCCTCATGGCCCTACACCTCCTCATGGCCCTACATCTCCTCATGGCCCTACATCTCCTCATGGCCCTACATCTCCTCATGACCCTACATCTCCTCATGGCCCTACATCTCCTCATGACCCTACACCTCCTCATGGCCCTAGGGCCCTTCGTGGTCCTACAGCTCCTCATGACCCTACAGCTTCTCATGGCCCTACAGCTTCTTGTGTCCCTACATCTCCTCATGGCCCCCGAGCCCCTCAAAACCATACAGCTCCTCATGGCCCTAAATCTCCCTCATGGTCCTGCATCTCCTCATGGCAGCCTCATTTCTACGTCCACCTGGGAAGCATTATTTAGAAGCTGCTCCCCAGGGTTCGTGCCATAACCGCTTTCTTCTTCTGTGCACAGAACACCAATTTTCCCCTCCAACATTTTCAGACTGTCTCAGCATGACAAACACAGAGCAAATGTCACGGCGACCCCAGGAGCAAAGCGTGCATTCCAAGCCAGAAAGGTCTCTGCAAAAAGCAGAGAGGAGAGAGCAGGCACCAAACGTCTCCAAGCACTGCATGCTGGGTGCAAACCATGAAAAAGAGCCTTAAAACAACCTTGATGGCAGTGCCGGGTTTTTTTGGGGGGGAGGGAGGATTTTGGGTGTCCCTTTTGGGTAAGCATTGTGTCTTTGCACTGCCAAACAAACGGGTTTGGAAGGATCTGGGGGTGTAATTTCTGAAACCTCATGGCTCAGAAATGCTTTGCTGCACCTCGAAGCTTTACGCTCTTGTAATTTCTTGTGCTCGATGTAATCCCTACTTATTTTGTTCTGTTTCGTTTCGTTTCACGTGGAGCTCAGAGAAAGGATTGGAGCAGAAAATGTACGATGTGAACACAACATCTTGTAAAAACGCAGCTGCATGACCCTCTAGATACTGCTGCAATGCCATTGCTGCAGAGAACAAACAATATTAGCTGGAAGTGGTTTCTAGCTGTTAGGCAAAATGATTATATTGTCAAGTGTGATGAATGAGGGAAGCGGGGAAGGCTTTAGCATCCTATCTGCGCAGTTATTTTCCATAATGTTCTTCTGAATGCTTGCTTCTCTCTCCTGCCTGCCCTCATTTATCCCTGGAGTGCTTGCAGTGCTCAGTGACTGCCAGGAGGGCTCTGAGCATTTGGGGGAGGAAAAAGCTTTGCCAGCCCGGATGGGGTGAGGATTCCTTCTGGGCTGAGCATCCCCACAGTGTTGGCATTTGCAAAATGACTTCAGGGGAGCAGAGCAACCATGTAGATACCGGAGAAGAGAGAAGAGCTGGTAGCGTTAGGCAGTGGGAATCTGCACGTGTGATGATGGAGCAGCCAATAGAGGGTGATCATATCGTGGCTGTTCCGTTTTTACGATCATCCTTGAAGAATATGGAAACGCAAAGAGGGTTGGGAGTTGAATATTGGCACAGCCTCCCGTCCCTGGAGCTGTGTGACAGCCATAGGGATGTGGTGCTCGGGGACGTGGTGGGCTGGGTTGGGGTTGGACGTGGGGATCTGAGAGATCTTTTCCAACCGTAATGATTCTGTGATTCTATGGAGAACCGTGAGAGCAGTTAAAGAGCTGGAGAACCTGTGCTGCAGTGGGAGCCTCTGAGCACCCATCTGAGAAGTCTGATCTGGTTTGTGAGTTTGCGTGGGTCACAGGGAGCTGGTGCCAGGCCCGAAAAAAGAGAAATGTGATCTTATGACTGGAAATGAGCGATAGCAAAGAGGAAGTCGGGCATAGGTTCTCTGCGTAGTGACAGCAACGGAAAGGTCAACTGGTTGGGTGCTGTGAAGGGTCTTTTGGCAACCTGGTCTGATAGCGGCTCTGCAGGTTGGTGGCCCTGCCTGTGGCAGGGGGTTGGAGCTTGATGATCGTAGAATCAGATCATAGAATGATAGAAAGGCCTGGGCTGCAAAGGAGCACAGCGCTCATCCAGCTCCAAGCCCTGCTGTGTGCAGGTCGCCAAGCAGCAGCCCAGGCTGCCCAGAGCCACATCCAGCCTGGCCTTGAATGCCTGCAGGGATGGGGCATCCACAGCCTCCTTGGGCAACCTGTGCCACTGCCTCACCACCCTCTGCCTCCA